CCAGCAATTCCACTCTTAGGCATATACCCAAAAGAAGCACATTCATACAACAAGGACATCTGTTTAATACTGTTCATAGCCACACTATTTGTAATAGCCAGAAACTGGAAGCAGCCTAGATGCCCCTCTACCAAAGAATGGATAGAGAAAATATGGTATATTTTCACAATGGAGTACTACTCAGCAGAAAAAAAAAAAAAAAACAATGGAATCTTGAAATTTGCAGGAAAATGGATGGAACTAGAAGAAACCATTCTGAGCACGATAACCCAATCACAAAAAGACAAACATGGTATGTATTCACTCATATGTGGATTTTAGACATAGAGTAAAGGATTACCAGCCTACAATCCACACTGCCAGAGAAGCTAGTAAACAAGGAGGACCCTAAGACAGACATACATGGTCGCCTGGAGAAGGGGAAAGCGGCAAGATCTCCTGAGCAAATTGGGAGCACAGGAAGGGAAGGAGAGAGCTAGGAGAATGAGAAGGGGAGAAGAGGATGGGTGAGGAAGACATGAGTGAGCAGAAAGGTTGAGTCGGGGGAAGAATTGAAGAAAACAAGAATGTAGATACCATAATAGAGGCAGACATTTTAGGGTTACAGAAAAATCAGGCACTAGGGAAATGTCTGGAATCTACAAAGATGACACCAGCTAACAATCTAAGCAACAGAGGAGAGTCTACCTTAAATGCCCTCCCCTGATAATGAGACTGTAAAACTGTCTTTTCAATTTCTATAAAAGAATTGTGTTGCAATTTTAATGAGGATGCATTGAATCTGTAGACTGATTTTGGTAGGTAGGATGGCTATTTTTACAGTATTAATCCCTCTGATCCATGAGCATGGGAGGTCTTTCCATCTTCTAGTGTATTCTTCCAAGTTTTTGTCATCCAAATCTTGTATTTGCTTGGTTAGAGTTATTTCAAGACATATATTTTGAGGTTATCATGCAAGTTATTTTTTCCTTGATTTCCTTATCAATGTTTGCCATTTGTATATGAGAAGGCTACTAACTTTTTGTGATACTTTTCTATCCTACTACTTTGTTGAAATAGTTTTCAGTTCTGAGATTCTTCTGGTGGAATCTTTAGGGTCTCTTATTTATAGACGCAAATCATCACCAAATGAGGATATATATATTTCTTCCTTTCCTATTTGTATGTCCTTGATCTCTTTCAGTTGTCTTATTGCTCTAGCTAGAATACTATATTGAACAGGTATGGAGAGAGTGGTCATCCTTGTCTTGTCCTGATTTTAGTGGAAATGTTTTGAGTTTCTCTTGGTTTAGAGTGGTGAATGCTATGGACTTTCTATAAATTGGTTTCATTATGTTGAGACTGTCCTCCATATCTATAGTCTCTTCAGGACTTTTATTACAGAGATGTCAGAATTTGTCATAGACTGTTTATGCAACTGATGGTACGATAGTTTTTTTTAATGTCTTTTTGTCTGTTTATATGATGGATTGTTTTTATTGATTTGTTTATTGCGACCCATTCATACATCTCTGGCATGAAGCCTCTTGTGGAACCCATATCCCATATTGTCAATGAGTCCCAAAACATGAGACTAGATAGTTCATGGGTCCTTTTCAAGATTCAAGGATCCATGCATAAGAGGAAATGGAAAGATTGTAAGAGAGTGAGGTGGTGAATACATCAAGGAAACAATATTTTCCAGAAACAACAGGGCTGATGCACATATGAACTTATAGAGACTGTGATATCGTGCATAGGACCTGAACATGCTACAGCTAGACAAAAATCCCAGCAGGGATAGGAAAAGTGGACAATAAATCATACTCATAGGCAAAATTTTATTTATAATTCATAGCTGATGGAAGAAGGAAAATCGGTTTTCTTCAATGGAATTATAATAGGAATATCAGCCACACTCCTGGGCAGGCCTCATGCTCAGGAGTGGTTGACTAACATAAATCATACTGTGTGTGTGTGTGTGTGTGTGTGTGTGTGTGTGTGTGTGTTTTGTCTTTTTTGATAGAGAGAGACAGATACACACAAAGAGAGCATGAAGTTGGGTGTGTGGGAGTGGGAGGCAGATCTGTGGACTATTTGGGGAACGGGAAATATAAGATCAATCAAAAATATATGATGTAAAATTCTGAAAAATAGAGAAATTAAAAAGAAAAGGACAAATCTATTGTTAAATGCATTAATATTGGGGTGTTTGTTTACTATGCAGCAGTTATTCTAACCATAGTTAACTAACATTTCAAAGCAGTTAAAATTAAATTAAAAAATTTCTGAATGCAGTGTTCTGATTCCAACTTTTCTGATAACACAACTTTGATAATGACAGTGCTATAGAGCCTGTGTATTCAGGTGGATCTGGCTTGTTGGTATCAGGAATGCAGTCAATATAAATGCTCAGCAGCCCTGATATATGGATGGAGCCTCAGGACAGAGACCCAGGATGCTTCCTCAGTCAGTTTCTGAGAGTTTAACTTTTCTGTTATATAGTTCAGTGTATCTTTATCATAGAACACTGCAGAACTTTCCCATCCTGGATTGGTTAACTAGCAGGAAGCTTGGCTTACATGCAGCATTTGACAGAGCTGACATCCAAGACTGCTGGAAGTCACTCAAACATGGCCACAGCCACAGAGAGAAATGAAGAAAGAGTTCTCTCTATCAATTCAAACTTTTTTCTTGTAGTGGGATATTTGTACTTTATTGAAATTATTGCCCATTTTGTCTGAATATACATGGAATAGAGCATCTATTTGCAAAAATACAAAACATGTATTTATTCAATTTGTTCTCTGAACAGGAAACAACAAAACAAAACAAAGCAAACAGCAATCAAACAAATAAAAGAAACATATCATGCCATCACCACTCATGTATTTTAGTTCCTGGTCCTGAATCATAGATGGGAGAGAGAGAGTTTGTTTGTTTGTTTGATGGGAGAACCAATATGACTTAGTTTTGCCTTACACTTTCTTGACACAGGACCTAGGAAGCTGCAAGGGACCATCCTTCATCCACAAGGCACTGCAAGCTGGTGAGAGGAGTGACTTTGGAGATCAGAGATGCTTCTGAGGAGAAAATGGCCAGATGTCTTACAAACTTCCCTTTCAATGATACTATGTGTGGGCTTCTCTGTAGATGGGTGTACCCGTGTCAAATGCAACTGCAGTTGGCATCTGCTTGGAAATGCTTCTCTGTGGGAAGGGAGGACATGTCACAGGAGTAGGCTTTATTCAGCTGGAAGAAGGCAGCCACTCATTTTCTCCATCTCTATTAACTCCTCTGCGCTAGACTTCTGTGAAGCCTTTCAGTCCACTCCGTTTCCTGCTCTGTCCTACTTGAACTAGAGGGTCAGCACCCGTTAGTGCATGGAATAAAGTTTTCTTCCTCTCCACCGCTGATCTCTAACTCACACAGCTTCTGCCCAACAAGAAAATCCAGTGCCATCTTCACACTTTTCTTGACGAGCTAATGTACTCTTGTGTATTGTTCAAATGAAAACATATGGATTGATACTATGTGACTAGACCTTTCTGTAACTGTAGTTTCTGTTTTCCACCTATTTCCCTAGATTTCCAGATAACACTGGAGTGTTTACAATGCATGATATAGACTGTGTAGAATGTCTACTGCCTCAGGATATGATCTCCAGAGCCATCCTATGATGTACTCTATTAGTCATATACAGGTTAGCCATATGGATACTGATGTCTGAACCAGTAAGCAGGATAGCTGTGCATCTGAACTCTAAAATCCAGCTACATACTCATGACTTCACCTGCAATACTGGAAAAGTATCTTTTGGTGCTCGCTTCAGCAGCACATATGCTAAAATTGGAACGATACCAAGAAAGATTAGCATGATCCCTGCACAAAGATGACACACAAATTCGTGAAGAGTTCCATAGTTTTTCTTTCTTATAAAAAAGGGGAAAAGATTGTCCTAAAAAGTATCTTTTGTTTTTAAATTCATGCCACATTTTTACATCTTGAAATATGAAATAAATCTATTTACTTGTTTCTATGAGATAACATTACCAAAAAAGTCACAGACTTGCACCCAGTATAATTATATGTGAACTATTTATAATTTAAAGCAGTAATTTTTTTCTGAAAACTAAATACAAAAGTCATGAAATACTACTATTCAGGACTTAACCATACATCATAGCTTAAATAATTAGTATTTAGCAAACATTCTAATGATCAAGCTGGCTGAGTCAATTAAATTATCTAATTTATCTAGAAAAATCCACTAAGTTTCAGCTAAAAGCTGTAGTTCACAAGTATATGCAAAAGAGAAAAAAAAGAAGACTCCATACAAATAAATAAGATAAGCAGTCCCTTAAAAAGACAAAAGAATAGAAGAAAGCAACACTGAGACCATAAATCTGAATGAAGCCCCCCAAATATTAGTTGAACAATGAAAAACTCTTCCCAAGAAAAAATTGAAGGAAAAATAGAAACATTTATCACCATTTCTCTGCTAAGAAAAATCTGTTTCAAAAGCAGTTTGCAGTACATTTGTTAGTTAATGCAAGATTCTTCTAGCCTTCTACACATACAAATGGCCCCAAGAGATAGCTTCATGTGCAAAGCAAAGCACAGGCAGACAATTTTCTGGGCAGTGGTTACACAACACAATTCTTCAAGACAAAAATTAGCATAATGATACATGATAAGGAAGCACAAAGTACAGTTGACTTTGTGCTCTAGGTGAAGTAAACATTGGACAACCATCTTTTTCCAAATCTGGCCATCAGGAAATTCCAAAGTAGAGGTAAACCTTTTCTCCAAGTATTTGTCTCATGAACTCATACCACAGTTAAAAGTGAATTGTCAGTGTGGAAAAATTGCCACAGGAGCAGGGGTGACTCAAAATGTGGCATCATCAAAACATCCAACCCTAGCAAGTGGGACAGTCTCCTAAAAATTATAACCAATGAGATTAGTTTCAAACTTATTATAAACAGGAGCCCACTGAGGTTGGAGGAATTGCTGCTTTACACAACTACTTATTCAAGGTCACCAAACTAGTTGAGGTGGAGGAATCAGGTTTTGAAGTGAGATCTCTCTAAACAAAAGCATTAACTCCTAAGCAACTATAAATCCCCATTCAAAACTGTAGCATCTATGTATGCAAGCACCAAAGTGTGATCGCAATCACCTGTTTTAGCCACCCATTTACCACCTACACACCAAACATCACCATTATTTACCCTTCTCAGATACTTGCTGTGATATGAGAGAATATGCCTAGGGTCTGGATTCTACTTTTCTCCTTTGGATGGGCTATGGAATACCAGAGGCAAGGCTTTTTGTGTCTAAGAAGGAAACCTATGGCCTAAAGAATTTTTGGTTGAGGTGCTACGTGAATCCAAGGTAATTATGAGGCACTAGGTGCTCTATGGAGTAGGGGCAGCTGCCAGGAAAACAAGTGTCTTATTTGAGTTCTTTTGGAGCACATCTTGAGGGAGAACTTTGGTGCCATTTCTGTGATTAGAAAGAAGTTCCAACCCACAGGAACAGTTGGCCTGAACAAGGGAGAGAGCACATCGACCCCAGATGCTGTCGGGGAGGCCAGTACAAGACTGGTCCAGACCCCTGAACACAGATGTCAATAAGGAGGCCTCTGCACTCCAGGGAGCCTTTGGTGGTGGATTAGTATTTTTCCCTGGTGCAAGAAGGGACTTTACAACAGATGCTGTCGGGGAGGCCAGTACAAGACTGGTCCAGACCCCTGAACACAATGCCAATAAGGAGGCCTTTGCACTCCAGGGAGCCTGTGG